ATTAAGAATATTATGTCTAACTATGTTTTCCATGAGGATAGATGGAAGATTTTATACATTCTATTTTTGATTCCGAATGTGCAATGTAAAAACAATATAAATAAACAAAATAGTAAATATTTCTATAAATTGAATTCAAGATGAAAGAAGACAATCATCTTCTTCCTTGATGATCTGCTCTTTTATGTTTCTCAGATACTTTTTTTGCATTATTGTCATGCCTAATTATAAATTCATTTTTCATTTGCAAAGAGTAAACGCTTGGGTATTTTGATCTTTGCACGAACAATAGAACATTTTTAAAAAAATTTATCTGAAATTGAGTTTTGACTTGACTTGTAATTGAAAAACTTTCGAATTGTCCATCTTTGCTCCCTTCGCAACCGATGAATAAATGATTTATTAGTCTATTCTAGTTTTTCTTCTTGTTACTTGAACTACACTACACATTGTTTTTTGAGTTGATGATTCAAAGAAATTTCGGAAAGTGATTTCTAGGTAAATATTGATCTCTTAGTGAAATTCTGATTAATTTATTTCGACTTGTTACTTAAACTGATAAGATTGGATATGAAAGTTGAAAAGTCAGGATAATCTTTCATTTCGGATTGAGTATGGGTATCAGAGAATGCGTTGATAAATAGAATACCTACTCGACGTCACAAGAATTTGATATTAATATGTAAGCCTATCTTTACTTTTTCTCTAAAATAAAGCAAAATACAGAAAAAATATTGTCTTATATAATATCAACTGAAAGCAACGCTTTTCTCTTAGGTCAAGGACATTACAATATTTAATGTTAGTGAAGAACTAAAAAATTACACATCATGATAAGTAATAATAATAAAACACATGTAATTCTTTTGTTCTATATCGATGTCATCGTACTATTTTTGACGAGCTAGACTAAACAAAATAGAAAAGAAAAATACTATGTAAATCGAAAAGCCCCATACTTTTATCTAAAAGTAATTGAATTTCATGGTGGATGGATGTAAATTTGAGTGTGAGCTTGCGAATATGATTAACTAAAGAAGACATTCACCTAAACCAAATCTAAACATCTATATCATGTTAATACTCTTTTCTCACAGCAACAGTTCTTATCAGTGTAGAAGGCATTATAGATTGTAAAAGTTTTCGTATTTCTCTCTATTCAATTTATATTATTTTGGGTTCTAGTAATGTTTAAACATATATGAAGATTTTTAGGAAGATGATTCATTTTTTCTAAGATACGTCCCACAATAAATATTTCTCTCAATACTTTACTCATTATTTTCTGTAATTCTACTATTCAGACTTTTAAAGTCTTTTTCTAAAAAAAATTTCTGATCTAATTCTTTACAAATCTTAATAAATTATGTTTATTGAAATGAGTAACTCAGAAATACTATGGACTAAATATTGTAAGATATGTCTTTGATGGCCTGTACTTAGTCTCTGCTCTCTCCACATGTGTCTCTTATCTATATGAGTAAGCATGAGTGCATAGTTTTTTTTTCCTTTTTAATGTTACTCTTGATAAGTCGTCTTCAAGTATAAAAAGAAAAGAACGCTGTAGGTTGTATCTCATCATGTTATATACTTCATCCAACAAAGTTGAGTCACCCACTAGTAAGTCAAAAAAGTAATTGTCCATGCAATAAGTTTAATGGTCATCGAAATTAAGGTCAAATAACTCAATCATAACAGTCGTATGAAAAAGATGGAAAGTACATCGAATTGTTGCAAACAAATATAAGTGTTCTGGGTATTTTATGTTCGATAATAATTCAATCGATAGCAATGTTTAAGCAGCATGTCCGAAAAATAATTATAATTTTCATTTTATTCATAGTCATCATTATTTTTGTCGTCTACCCGTTCAACAAATATCCCTCGTACACAAGTCAACTGATACTTATGGAAACCAATGATTCTTCCTCTGTCCATTTTTCCCCGCATATCGCTGTACTTGTTGAATTTCGTCCGACGGATCAAATGATCAGTATCGTGCATAATGTAAATTATCATATTCCAACAACGTGGCCTATTCAGATCTTTCATGGCGAAATGAACCGAAATTTCATCCTTAATTCTACACTAGCTCCATTGATTGCTTCCGGCAAAATAATTTTGACTTTAATGCAGCCGTATACGAAAGACCGAATAAGCGAACTATTGACAGATCCCCAATTCTGGAAACATGTTCGTGGTGAAAAAGTATTCTTCTTTCAAATCGATTCAATCATGTGTTCTAATTCACCCCACAAAATCACGGACTATCTATCCTATGACTACATCGGTGCACCATGGGATCCATCATGGTTTAAGTTTAGTAAGAAAAATCTTGTCGGCAACGGTGGATTCTCACTACGTAGTCGGAGTAAGATACTTGAGCTGCTCGCACTTGTCACATACCATCGGATGGTACCTGAAGATGTTTGGTATGCAACGAATTTACATCGAGTCAATGCAAAAATAGCTTCCGTAGATGTAGCAAAAACATTTGCCGTTGAAACAGTTTATTATGAACATCCCATGGGCGTACATCTATCGATTTTATCGTGTCATATACGTTCGCAATTGATTCAGACGTGTCCAGAAGCGTTAATGGTCATGTCGCCTAAGTGTTAGTACTAAGTAGAATATAAATATGAAATCTTTCATGTGTGTTTGAATCATCATGAATAATAGAGCGATTTGAAATCTTTGCAGAAGTTGATTTGTATATAGATATCTTAGGATCACCATGTTCACTATTAGTTTAACGTTTATAAATTGGTACATAGATTCTGATATCTACAATACTTAATGGAATTGTAACATTCCATAGACATGTTTTACATAATGATGAATATGATTTTTCCACTTAAGAGTATTTGATATCACTTGATGAGCATGAGATCGTTTTCTTTACATAGTGTTACTCATAATCTTTACAATATATCGTTTAATGTTGCTCTTTTGTCAGAATCTACATTGAATATTGATCAACATGAATTAAGCTATATCTAAGGAACCATGCAAATAAAAATGATTATGATTGTTGTCCATAATAAATTGTTGACTGTTTGGACATATTTTGAGTTTGACCAAACGATTTTACAATATATTCTTCGAAAGAAAATGTGATAACATGTCAAACGACTGGCAGACAGTTGAATTTGTTGCTTGTATATTGTACATTTGAGTTTTTCGTCAATTTTACTCATATTAAGACATTCATAAATTGAGTTTTTAGAGCAGGCTTGGTACTAATCCGGTGAAACAGAAAAAAGGCTTTTCACGAACAATCTTTCAGCGTTATCGCTGTTGAATCCAAATGTGAAACACGACGATTTCACTTTAATAGTAAACAAGAGCCATAGGTATGTTGATCATGGTTGGTAAAAGCTAGAGAAACGAACATATCGAAATACTTGTTATAGTCTATGCCACTAGGCTGTGTGTGTGTCTCTGACGTTCTGTGAAACATGCTAATGCGCAGATTCATTTTTCTCGCTATAAACTTCAACATTCATTTACAATAGTGTTCCGCAAAACTCTATGTAGTTACTTATTAATACAACATAAGGTTAAAAAGAACTTCAATCGGATAATTACTAACTATCTTTCAAAATTTCTTGTCACTTATCATGAAGTCCGAATCTAGCAGTAGTCTATCGAAATGGATATATCTGTCATATTGTAATGTTCCACTTTGAATATTAGAGATATTGATAGTATCGTATCATTGTTCTTGTCTTTCTGAAATTTCAATTTTAAGTCCATAGGCTAACTCAGTATAAAGCATCGTGAGAATAGTGATTATTATTTTGATTGCTATTTTTTTAACTTTATGTATTCTTTGACCTTGTCTAAGCGTAATACATATATTTAGATTGAAAATGTTTGACTTATCAGTATATTTTTCGAATAAGCAATCGGATTGTGTTATTACAATGAATTATTTTCATTTACCTGGGAAAAATCGATCTGAAGAATCAAACAACTAAAGTAGGAGTGACTTTGTGTTCAAAAGCACTGATGAATCATCTCCTTAAAACATGTGTTGGAAAGGGTGTGGGTGTGCGTGTAGATTAAATGAATAGAACATCCACATCCGCGCCCACCCCCCACCCACACCCATAACCAAGTAAAGTCCAACAGAAGAAACAACAACATGATCATAGATATTCATTTGAGAAGTTTGCATTTTCATATTACATATTATCAGCCTTTGAGTGTCTTAAGGCACTATCTTTTATAGATATTTAATGATAAACAATTTAGATAGAGAAAAAAATACTTCATTATAATATTCAGAGGAACATTCTTCTTGGCATTTCAAATAATCATTTACGAAGACTGAGTGGAAAAGGGTGAGTGTGGACAAAGAGCAGACGCTCATATCTATACTGACACACCTACATCCTTAGCTCGTAACTGTTGATTATCGGACATGATTTGTTTATACGTTACCGTTTGTTGAAAATTGCATTCACATTCAGAATCACTAAGTCAGCATAATGGAAGTTCTCTAAACCAGCAAAGCTTACTCTTACTGAAGGTATTCAGTATAACTACTTAGTCATTGTAGATGGGCGTTCACTAATAGAGGCTTTACTCTATGTAGCAAAAAATCATTTACATAAATCATATTCCATTGTAGCTAGACTTCATTGGAAGGATTCACTTCTATTAAATACAAATTGGGTATCATATCAAGATGCCTTTTTTGAAGAGAAAATGTTGCTCTCTCTTTTGAGATCTAACAGAAACACAAGTCTTTAACCGTTTCGGAGAAATGGTTCAAATATTTGTTAGGAATCGTGCATATTACATGTTTTCAGTGTCATACAAGGCGTGTACAATGTGAATTCCATTCCATTCAAAGCTTAAATCTTATGAACTGAAACTTAAAATTGGAACATGTTTTCAATTATGAACTTTTTATTACAATAATAAATAAAAGGGCTTAAAAATTTCAGATGATGTTCTCGGATAAAAACCTTCGATTCTGCTATCAGACATCATCTAAGGCCACATACAAAAACAATAAGAGTCAAAAGATAAATGTGAAAATCAACTAAGGCATGTTGTTGTGATTTGGATGAACGAGACGTTAACGTGAGACCACCACCTTGACTTGTTACATTAGGATCCCGATTACTCATCTGGCGCTCGTATGAAGTGGCCATGACTTCTACAAGATTGCCAAATGGATCGAGACAGTAGACTGCTTGATAGATCTCTCCAGGAAATACTGTCAGAACAGGACTAAGCTGCTTGCCGCCGGTCTCTACAATTCTGCGGACCAAACTTTCAGGGTCAGGGTCTGTCACACAGATGTGAAACAAACCGGCACGAGAATATTCGAAACTGGTCGTGTTCGGACGTTGTGTGGGTGGATCAATAAATTGAAAAAGTTCAAAGCCGACTCCATTGCCTGCCGTCATATGAGCCATTTTGACGCGCTTCATCTCAGGTGGATACATATGTGAGAGAAGAATTCCCATATCAGTTGAATTGTCAACAATAACGTCGACTGGAGCAACTAATATCGTGAAACCAAGAACTTCACGATACCAAGTCAATGCGGCATTAATGTCGGTTACAGAAATACCAATATGATTCATGGGACGTGCATAAGTAGTGATCTGATCAGATACTGCAATAGAAATATATACAAAAGTGACTTTGATGAAACTTAGCTGACTTCAATTACATTATCTATCCTTATTATTTTGACTTGCGTTCAATAGAAATTTTATAGTTGTCTTGGTTTTTTTTCTTCAATGTCTAACAACTGAGTTCTAATTTTTTCTATATACGATTTCAATATTTTTTTAGTCTATGAAATATGTGTTTTTAATTCACTTGAGTAACAGATGAAGACTGAAAATTGAAAAGTTACATTCCATTATCAATTATACAAATGGCAAGGAATCAAGGAGTACTTTACTTAAGTTCACGTATCAAGCTATGTCATGAAGATTCAAGTAAGCAAATTATGTCAAAACAAAGAATGGCTGACGAAGTTTGATTTATAAGTCAATCGATATGATTATGCGCATCTACTCGTAACATATTCCTTAAGACTTTATTTTCGTACGTCAAAGATATCATGTAATTGATGTGCATAAAAAATATCGCACTAGATGATCGAGGTGGAAACATATGATTCAAGTGAACTCGTAATTCAAAGCCATTACAAATAGCTGAAAATCATACGTCAACAGTTCTCTCTGGAAATATTTCAAATATACTTCCTATTTTTTATCCTAAAAAATCTTTTTTTACTAATACATAAGACACATTGTCCCTTTTCACTCGTGTTATTTTGATAACTTACATGTAATGCAAAGAGTCCATAGAAAGCACAGAACGATGAACTTCATTGTTTTGAAGTACAATAATGATTGACACCAAATAAAAACAAACTGCTGTTGATAAATGAAAGTCTTTATTGTCTTTTGGATGTTTTTCGAATATATATATATACATATGCAAATGTATTGATTCTAATATCTACTAAAATACATTTGCATTACTCACTTCCTCTCTTAGAAGAATCGACGAAATTGGTTATCAACAATGTCATTAAATATACTGTCATGTACGCAAACATTGATAAGAAACTAACAGATCTACGATTTGTCCAGGTTTATTCTTTTATGCGCCCACAAAATGTCTTGACATATGAAGATACGTTAAATTGCTTTCACTTTTGTTTAAATCAATAAACAACAGCATCAACTATTCTTCGATCGTTTTTAATCGGCAACAATTCAACTTACATTAAAGTCAGAAGGAAACACTACAACCCCCTTGGATACAGGATTTTTTTAAAATAACTTTATTTTATTGTTACATTTGAAAGTGCATACAATGAAGTGAACGATGATTGAAAGTTACAGCTCCTTAA